GGTGCAGTGTACGTCTGCATTGGTTTTCACAGAGGGCGAAAGGGTTTGAGATGTGGGAGAGTGTAGCAGTGGCAGAGGAGGAAGACATGGTGAAAGTGTCGGCTCGCCGTCATGGTGAGTGGTGGCTCACTTCACAACCTGTCGATGCTGCAGGTGGAGGGGAGAACTAAGGGAGAAAGAGTAGTCGGGAGAGGAAAGAGAGTTGAGAGACATGAATGAAGAGAGAGAAAGTTGAGTAGTGAAGTGAGGTGTCAGCAAGAGAGTTGGTGAGTTAAAGAGGGAGAGTGACAATTGAGTGAAGAGATGGGAAAATGGGAGACACGGAAGAGAAGGAGGAATGGGGTGTGGGTCCCACGTGGCTTACAAAACAAGTCATAAAATATCTCACAATTGAAATTACCAAATCGCCCTTCACGTTTGTAAGTTTGTAAGATCTCTATCGTAGCTCCTAATTGGATTCCGCTTACGCCTACTCATTCGTAATGATGAGTACTACAAGGATATGCTAAAAGAATGTTTCATACGTCTCACAATACGCTGGCCAACGAAAGTCAACATCCTTGCCTATAAGGGCATTTTCGTCAAATCACTCTTTCAAAATTTATAAAATCGTAAAATTAGGGACGGGTTGTGAAATCCCGTTCTCGGATTTCACTATTTAAAATTACGTATTACGTATTTCGTATTCTTAGTTTCAACGCTTTTATATTTACGGCATATTTGACCCCTACATATTGTTGCAATTATCTTTATATTTGAATAGTACTTGTCGATATGAATGCGTGGGCGCCAACAGAATGTGATTCGGAATTATAACAAAGATTTTATAAGGTTTTGAACGTTGAGGATATTTTGGTAAATTGATAATTAATTGGACATGTGATATTTTTGTCTAACCATTGGTTGACCAAAAATTCTGAAACTCTCTCTCTTCCCTCTTTTATCCCGTATCTCTTCACTCTCTCTCTAGAACTCTCTATCTCTCTCTCGGTTCTCCCTTTTCTCCCCGTGAAACAAACTACCATCACCACCAAAATTTTGGCTTGTTGAACACCAAAACCACCATTATCTGCTTGTCTTCACCACCATAAACCCAGTTTTGAGTTTTGTTTCATTGAAAATGAATCTTAACCTCGAGTTCGAAGAACAAGGTTTTGGGCCGAGACTTCTAGGGGTGATTCAGACAATTTTCAGCCATCTTCTAGACTTAACACATGTATAAATCGATTCTTCTCGTCGATTAGATAAATTTTCATGTTTGGATCGTGTGATTTGGTTGAAAAATGAGAAAGTTATAACAATTTAAAGTTTGCCAAGTTTCTGGCAAACCCGTGACCTTCCAGACCATTTTCCCGCCAAACCACGGCTATTTGGCCATCATGTAATGTACCAATCTTTTTGTCTCGTCGAGAAATACGATTTTCATTTTTGAATGACTTGATTTCGTTGAGTATTGACAAAGTTATGGACGTTTAAAGTTTGCCCAGAAATTCCGGCGAGTTACCAGTTTTCCCGCGGACAGCAGTATTTTAGGCCATTTTCCGGCCACCTCCAGTCACCATTTGGATTCCAAGCAGGTATAATCTTGTTCTACACTTCTCTACCTTCGTTTTGGTTTATATGGGTCGAATTTGGTCGAGAAACGAGTAAGATATAGAGTTCTAAAGATTGCCCAGAAAATATGCAAAATCTGCAGAATCTAGCGAAATTTCGTTCCACTTGAACATTATAGCAATCAATGATCCGACCGTTGGATCATCACCAAAATTTGATACATTATCGTACGTAATATTTAAGGACCTTAGGAACTTACGAATCGAAAATCTTGTGATTGGATCTTATGGAGCAAGTGGCGTAGGATCATGGACCCTACTTATGAATGACGGTTCGATTTCTCTTTAAATGCTGTTGTAGGGGACATATGGGAGTTTTTGAGTATGTGAATTATCGAAGGAAATCTAAATGTGGACTTGTACTTTGTTTTAGGAGACGATAGTGTGTGGTGTCTCAATTCTTGTGCTAGGGTGCGTTAACGCGGACTCCAGGTGAGTGACTTGAATATATGTGATATTGGTGATTACTCTGTTTTCGTAATTGTTATCCTGTGTGGTATGACTTGGTTTTATAAATATGTTTTCTACTGAATTGTTATTTTTAATACTTAGCCATCGATTTATGTTTATGAAATGAGATTTGACGTGCATATTTGAAATATGGTTTGATTTGTATGATTGGCATCTTGTGATGAAATGTGAGGGCTAGTAGTGAACTGTTAACCCATTGTGATGGGGATTTGTTACTTCAATATTGTTTCATTTCCCTCTTCGTTGATTCGCTCTAAATTTAGTATTTGTGCCTTGTTTGACTTCGTTGAGCTTTTGTAAATTGAGTACCTTGCGCCTTATTTCGTTTCTTTGAGTTGTTGTACATTATGGTTGTTGGCCTTCTACTCGGTTCTGTTGAGTGATCCGGAATTGGGTTTCCACTGGGGTTCCGTTGAGTGGTCCGGTTCCCTGCTCCATTTGGATTCTGTTGAGTGGTCTGGAATCCCTCGTGATCCACAATTCTGTTGAGTGGTTCAGAGTTGTATCTAGCTTGGATATCATTGAGTGGTTCGATATGCATTTTACTCCGTGATTCCGTTGAGAGGCCCGGAATCATATCCACTCGGATTTCGTTGAGAGGTCCGAAATCGTATCCACTCGGATTCCGTTGAGAGGTCCGGAATTCCTTCTACTTTGCAATTCCATTGAGTAGTCCGGAATCGTATCTTGGTTGGATTCTGTTGAGTAGTCCGGAATCTCGTTTGGTATTATGGTTCCGTTGAGAGGTCTGGAACCCGATTAACTGCTTTATTGATTATTCGGATTGAGTTTGGATTGAGATAGCTTCAGAGATGGAGGCTTCGGCCGAACTATGTCGCTCTAGCCCTACTTTTCATTATGTTGTATGAGTTTATGGTTGTGAGCTTTTATGACTTGTTTTAGACGAGCCGTTGGATGTCTGGGTGACTCCTTCGTGATTTTCAGTGACTTGATTATGATTTCATAAAATATGATTTTATATTTGACGTTTATAAACCGTGATCAATGGATGATTTTTAATATTATCACATACATCGAATTATGGTCACTCACACGAGCTCTGCGGCTTATCCGGGTTGTTGTTTGCCTGGTGCACCATTCCCATGGTGTAGGGGTGATTGTGCAGGTTTTAGTAGATACGAGGAGCTTTGGGGTAGCAGACAGAGTTCTGAGAGCTTGGAGTGTTAAGTTACCCCTATACTTTCCTTAAAAAGATGTGATTATTGTTATTTTCAGTTCAGTATTTCAGTTTGTATTTCCTGGCATCCCCTTACAGTCTTCCGTTATGTGTTGATCTTGGGCGTATGTCAGGATCGGGGCGTGACACGGGTTGTCACAGTTGCTAATTCAATGCAAAGATCTCTTAATTAAGAAATAATATATAAAGCCCAAATCAATGGAAAAAAAGAAACAAGAAAATTAAGCTCTAAATGAGCCTAGATTGATGAAGAAATAAAATAAAACTCTGAAAGGAAGAAAAATCAAGATGCCCATTAAACCATGCAGCAATTGACCCTAGAATGATATATGGGGCAAACTAAGCTAAACTGAAAAAGGAAGAAAAAGATCATGGACAAAAAGTTACGTGCTTAAAAATTGCAGACCCCCGAGGGATAAGAAAGAGTCGGTGGGTTTAAAAAAATGGAAGGAATTCTAATGATTTTTTGCTCTTTTCACTTAGTATTATAGTTTAGTGGTCTTTCTTTTCACTTGTAATTGAGAGGTCTTATGTTCGATTATCGCCAAAGGTGAATTTGAACCATATTATTGCTAGCATATTGTGAGACTCAACCCACCTCCTTCCCTTAGTGTAGATAATATCGTTTGTTTCAAAAAAAAAAAAAAAGATGGAAGGTATTTTTTATTAGGGGTAAAACAAGAAAAATATTTATGAGTTTTTTAAGGCATTACAAATTTATTTTGAGTGTAAGTGAAATCTATGTGGTACTTGATGAGTGAAAATGACAAATTGAAAGAAGGTAAATGAGAAAAATAGCCAGTATCTTCCTCTTGAAGAGAAATCTCCTAATGTTAGTATGACTGTTAATTGTATCCGCTGGTAGACTCTAAAATTTCGAAATCTCATAAAATATTGATTAGCTAAAAAAGGGAAAAAAATGGTGCAAAACATTAAATGGAAACCACCAAATTTTTCTGCTTTGATATCCAAGTTTGGGATTATTACGTGTTACACGTCATTAGAGGATTAGCTAAATGATTGTGCAAGTCGGCAATACAGTTAATAAGTGGTTAGCGTTGTTAGGCTCTCTATTATTAACTGAGTTGTGTATTCATTTGCAATAGGGATTTGACTATAATTTTTACATGTGTTTAATACAATTACTATCTCAACGGTTATGTGGTGATTGTACTAAATACTTATATTCAAAAAAATTATATCTGATTGTTGGATAACGTTTGTTTTAAATACATGTATTGCAGTCAATCTCCGAAGTTTGATGAATCCATATGCCTTTTTGAGGAATAATAGTTTATGTTAGATTTATTATTCGCGATCACAACGGTTATAAAAGTTGTTGGTGCTATCCTACTGGTTATGTTTCAGTTCTCGAAGCTAAAGTGAATGGTTCAAATTATGAAAAGATATATGCACCGTTAAGCAAGATTGATTGGTTGTTGCAAAGAATAAGTCAAGATAGGTGAGAAATTCATTTTCATCTTTCATTGAGGTCAAGTTAAGCACGTATTAAACCCTCATATTAAAATGGCTTGCCCCATCCATAACTCAAGGGTAGCAAATCATCTTGTGAAATAACACAAATTCCTGTGTTTTCTCAAACAACAGTTAAACATGTTTGCCCCAAATGGAAACTGGTGAATGCTGAGGCAGGATGTGATGCGATAAGAATGACCCACCAAACCCTAATAGCGGACAGAACGAGGTATTGTAGCCATTAGTTTTACGAAACCGCCGTCCAATTTCATTCTATAAAACCGAGCTAAACACTTATCAGTTGCTATGTGCCCGAGTCTGCCAACCCCTCTCTCTCTCTCATATTATTTCTCACTAGGTTATGGGTTAAATAGATCGGGAATGGTTTTGTTTTCCTAGGGTTTGTCTGAAGGTCAAGGTGAAGAGGAAGATGATGCTAAAGACTGGAGAATGATCCGACATTATTATCGAATCGCTGATATACCAGAGGTATATATAATCAATCAATTATCCTTGATTTGATCTTCAATTTTCCCACACCAACGATTATAGATCTTGGATTTAGGGCTTCGTTTCATTTTACTTGTTATTTGCTATATTTTTGTTCTATATATATATATATATATATCTTCACTAACGAGTAGATTTGAGTTTGTTTTGTAGAGTTTTCTCGGCAGTCGGGAGCCTGCCAGACGAACTCACGTCACAAGTCTCGCAGAAAGACTGGAAAGAGAGGCCAGGCTGCTCAAGTAATCCTTCATATGCATTAAACCTATATAATTTTTTATTTGTTTGGTACATAAGGACTCATCAATTATTTGTATTCACCGCCTCAATATCGTATAGGGTTCGAAGGAGTTGGAGGACAATAAGGAGGAAGACGAAAGAAGCAGTCAAAACTACGAGTTGGGTTACTCTTGACCCTAATGTTGGGCAGCTGGGGGAGCAAAGAGCATTAGGCTGAGTGAGTGCAGCTCAAATTGGCCCACATTTTGGTGATTCTTCTTTACAAGGCCAGAGGAGAGCTATTACTCAAAGATAGGATGGCCTTTATTCACCTTATCAATACCAACACTTATGCACGTGCAGAGACAGGTGATGAACCAAGGTCAAAATCACCATAACTTTCAACAATGCACGATGAACAATTGCCAGAGTTAAGACGATTTTCAAAGTAAAGATCATACGATAATCCCGTTGAATCTTTGAAGGTTCAATTCCGTTTGTATCTGCTATCGTACATGTGAGGCTGTCATTTCCTGTTTGTTATCGAATCGATGATTTACCAGGCTTATGTATTTTTTGGCTTACAAGTTTTACGGTTTTCTGTGGCTTCTTGCACACTATGAAGTTTACATGTATAATGTAATTGATAGAGCCAGATCAATGAACAAAGAGATTACTTCATCTCCAACCTAGTCTATTCAATTTTTTGAACGAGTCGATTGTCTTTTCCTTTTGATTTGATTATTAACGGTGGTGACTTGAACAACATTATGAAAGCAGATTGATGAGCCCAAAATCCTGCCAGCTGGGAACTTATTCTTTTCATTTGCTAGAGCAAAGGCCATTGCAGCTGTAACCTTCCAATGTTAACGGTGAGAGGTCTAAAATACAGCAAACTAAAAAAATACAAGTATATATATGCTGAAAATAAGACTTTAGCCAATTTTTTCCACATAAAACCCGACATAAGTTTTTTACTCGAATAAAATTTATTGACCAAATTCCATATAAGCAAATTCATTAATTATAGACATTACGCATTTTATATTTTTTGGATGCCCAAATACTCCACATTTAAATGTTTGATGTACAGAAATTATAAGAAAGAATTAATGGTTTTACAAATTAGGAAAAGAAAAAAAAACATTAATGTTATAAATTCATTGCTTAATATATAATAACAATAAAAATGTCTAATTTATGCAATAATACATGCTTAATTAACAATGATCTATGAAGACTATATATGCAGCTTATATCGACTTGACAATCCAAGAAGTCAACACCAAGGGTATTCCGCCGCCGAAGTTTTTCTTCACTGATCAGCGAAGATCAGAAGATTGAAGTTAAGCAGATCTGATCCCAAGACAACCTTGCCGACCTCTTCATAAAGTCACCACCTAAGTCAACCTTCAAGAAGCTTAGGAATTGGTACACATAACTATCTTATTAACAACGCTTGTAGTTCTTAGGGGGAATTTTGTCGAAATCAGGGGGAACATCCTGAAGTATACTCATATGTCCTTAATATTTTTTTTTTCTCTCTACGATTATGAGCATTTTTTCCGATGAGTTTTTGCTAACTTTACAAATTTTGATGAGACACCACATGGGGCTAGTCATATCCTTGTGTTTGTTTTCTACTACTTGATGCATCTTGGAGATGTCAAGTATTGACATTGCATGAACTCACATGTTTCTTCTTAGACTACGGGTTGTCTAACTGAGCTTACTGTAGCCAATTTTTAGTGAGACTATCTCCTTATATGCAGCCCTTCTCTTGTGGCAAAGGAGAACTGACGATAACAACCATGATCTCCTAATCATGAAAACCTAATTCGACTACTTTTTAAGTTCTACACAGTCAAGGGGAGTGTTGTAAATAGTGTTTCAAAACTAGTGTGATTGTGTAAATTAGAAGTAGAATCCTATAGGAACTAGAAGATCAATTTCTTGTACAACATGTACTACTTGGTAGAGTAAGTAAAACACATCATGTTTAATATAAATAAAAGAACTAGTCTACATGGGAATTTACATATAGAATTCCTCAAGTCTTTCTCTCTTTTCTCTTTTCTCCTGCCGGCCCTCCCTTTACCTTCTGCCAAATAGTTGGTTTTACAATAATTTTTAATATTAAATATGCAGTAAAAAGTTGGGAGCTTTTAGTTTAAAGGGGATCTTGGATAAAATAAGTATAAATGTAAATCCATTGTATGCTAAATTGGCCATAAATTTGGAATTAGACTTGCTGAAGGTTTCAGCAGGAGCTCCTGTTTATATCCAATCCTGAATGAACACGTGTCCAAGTAAATAATCAAAATTTAAACACGTGTCCACCTATGATTGGATGTAAGCATGAGCTCCTGCTGAAACCTTCAGCAGCGAAGCAGCGTCGATAAGTTTGAAGGAAATATATCAAGTTTAGGATAAGCCACATATTCTATTGTGAGTGGGCCTATTACTAAATAAAAGATGTGGAAGGTTATCATATTTTATCTATTTTCGAATTTAATAAGCTTTATTAAAGCTTCAAATTGACTTTGAGGGTTTAGATTCTAGAACACATCGATGAAAATTTATGGCTTTGAAGGGCAGAGTTGTGCTAACCAAATCTCGGTCTGATGTCTCTTTCCAATGTTTGAACATCCGAAATCTACATTTCCAATCTATTTCTAATAAAGAAAAAAAAACTTTATTTCACCACCAAAAAAAAAAGAAAAAGAATTGCCTTTCTGTCAAAGAAAGAAACCAAAAACTAAGACATTGCCGTGACCGCACGGTAGCTGATAATTTGGTTTTCAAAAGGTGACAAGAACGTTTTGGACAATAACTAATAACGAAGGACATGGACCCTCTCCGGATTCATTGGTCCTAATCCATCAAGTCATATCATTCAGACCATTGAAATTAAATCTAACGGTTAAAATTATTATAACTTTTAAAATGAATATCTATTTGTAATCATTAAATTAAATTTTAATTTTAATGATCCGGATGATGTGACTTGATGAATTAGAACCAATAGATACAGAGTATCCATACTTGGGGGTCTTGTCAATTCCGTGACAGATGCCCAACTCATGATTCTATCTCCGCGTCAATATTTTGCATTAAAGCCCCACTTGTTGTCTCAAACTAGCATAAAGCCCCACTGGCTAAATAAACTTTGCTTAATGGATTATACAAGATTAAAAATTGATTTTAGTCCCTAGACTCTATTAAATGTCGGTATATGTATTCACTCTCTTTTTTATTTATAATTTTATGGTGTTCATAAATTAAATTTTATGAAAATATTATAAAATTTAATTCTCATTATGCTAAGTATCTTATATAAGAAAACTTTTTGTAGAGATTTTTTAGTACATTTATGTTTTTGCATGTTTTCTTATGTGCCACTAATTCATTACAATATATTTAGGTACAAATATTTCGGTACACCGGGTTAGTATAATATGTTTAGGTGTGGATATTTAGGTACACTAGTTTAGTATAATATATTTAGGTATTGACATTTCGGTACACTAGTTTTGGTACACTTATATTTTTGCATATTTTATTATGTGCCACTAATTTACTAAAATATATTAGGTACAGACATTTCGGTATACTAATTAGAGGAAGTTAAATAAAATTGACGAATTAAAATGGGTACAATAAAAAATTTAAAATTTAATGTAATGACATTAAATAAGATATCTATTAAATATTAAAATAAAAATATAATATAAATTTGAATTAAGTACACATTAAGGGACTAAAATCGATATCCAATCTAACACCAAGTTTTTATTAAATTTTAATCTTCAAGCATTAAAGTTCAAAAACCCCTTATAATTATATATTTTTGTAGTCCAGGGCTTATATAATTGCAAAGGCTATAAAGGTGAACAAAGTTTTTTTCAAGCAACTTTTTGACCTATTTTAAGCAAGATCTAGTTATTGTAATAATTAAAGTTTTTCAACTAAAGTTTTTCTTTAACAAGAGAATATTTTGAATTGTTCTTACATATTGAAACGAGCATGCAAACTTTAGGTTACAACCATACAAGTGAGCGATACTCTGTATAAGCAACTTGGGTGCAAGAGTAAAAAAATGGAAGTTCATTCTAACAAGCTAATCATAGTTTTGATGCATGAAACATTGGATTGAATCGAGCTTTTGACCTACTTTAAGCACATCCGTCCGCTAAACCAAATTTGACCAAGGTACTACATAGTCATCTACTTCTAGGACTTCATTGTTGAAGGTAGGTTTTGCAGGGTTGGGTTAAGTTCTCAATCACCAAAGCTATGTTTGGTAATTACTTTCTGAATTGAGTTGTTTTAAGGTATATAAATGTCGACTGATCAAATTATGCTTCAAATTCAATATATGAAATCAAACTTTGAACTCGGACTCAATGTATGTTGTTGTGCGGAAGCGGCATCCGACTGTAAGTGAAAAGTAAAAAAACAGAAACAAAATAAAAACAACACCAACAAGAACACCAAGATTTATACTGGTTCGGCAATGCCTACATCCAGTTTGGAGACAACGGAGTATTCCACTATAATCAATGAGAACATACAATAGTGTTTATCACTCAATTTCCCAAAGACCCAAATAACCCAAGCTCACACACTTTGCAATAGGAAGGGAGAAAACCAAAAATACAAAGCAAAACAATTTGAGAAAAAATATTTTCTCTGCCAAAAGGCTTCTTGCTCTTTTTCTTCTTCCTACTTACGGGCTGCACCTTGCTCCCCTTTTAAAACCAAGGAAAATGGCTCTTCAAGGACATCAATGGCCAAAGGCCTACCATCAGGTCAAAAAGAATTAGGCACAATTGTTGTTTGTCTCCCATTACCACAAAGTAGCCGAAATTTTTTATCTTTGACTACATTGTTTGAGTCAATAATCAACATATGTATCATTCCTTCTGAATCAAAAGAGCAACTGCACATCTTACAGACTTATACTCGTCTCTGAATTAGACAACTTCCATGATTCTAATTTTGAACTGCACATGAAACTATAAGTATATCATCGGATGCTTAAAGTCTTTCAGCGAGACTCGACTCAGAATGAACATTCCATCTTCAACTGTATGCACATGAAAACCAATTGTTTTGCCGGAAGCAAACACATGCAGCAGATTTAATCGGTTACTTACTTACAGAACTGTTATTTCCAGATTTTGTGAGGCTGCTTCGACTTGATGCAAGAACTCTCGAGCCTTGAGTCTGAATTCTTCCGGGTTTCCACCATTAACTTCCTCATCACTTAATGTAACGACAGTAAGCTGTTCCATGATCCGGCCATGTCTGAGAAGATAACGGAGCAGGTCAAGTTCATGTTGTGACCCATATAATCTTTTACTTCAACCATTCTCAGTGTTCGGGTTATGCACTCATAAACTTCTACATTTCCCTTCCACATCTCTCGAGGCTTCAGTACAGATGGAGTAACGTAATACTGACCAAGATATATCACAAAAATAGTATTAAACATTAATTAATTAGATATCATATGCCATAACGTACCAAGAGAGATCACAAAAACAGTATTAACATTAATTAATCAAATATCAAATCCCATAAATTTGCTACAGCATAGTTAACTATGAGTACCTCATAAATTTCCTCAGGGCATCGTTTGATTGTAAGAGTCTCCAGATGAGGACAACAATTCAAGAAAAACTTGATGCCGAGTTGTTCATGGTGATGCATTGTCGTTTTCCGTGTCAAATCTGTTACTGTCAAACGAGGACTCGGAATAATTGGTTCCCGTTCTGTATGATTGATTATAACCTGCAAACAAATAACACATAAATATTAAATAACAAGGTTTAAAAGAGGTACAACGCATCAACTAACGTGACTGTTCATATAAACAAGGAATGGGGTTATCCTTGAGACATTCTTACTTCGCAGATCGCCTCATTTGTCATCTATAAAAAGGTTGTTTTGCTCAATTGTATCATGAAAATTCTCGAACACAGATCCAACTATATTCCTTAATCCTGCGATCATGCATGTAGCCCTATAATCTTATGAATCCATAAGTTTTGTCAGTGCCTCTCAAGTTCAACAATATCTAATCCAGCCACATTACTAGTGCAAACAATGAAACGTTGAAGAGAGAAATGTGTATCCGAAGCGTGTAAGAACGTAACTTCCTTGTAGGAGGAAGTATATCAAGAATGGAATTAGGACTAGCAAAGCTATGAAAATCTATCACAAGGCTACGAGGAAGTATATCGAGAATAGAATTGGGACTAGCAGAGCCATGAAAATCTATCACAGGGCTCAAGTCGAGGTTCAACTCTTCGAAGAAATTGAATTCGCTACCCTCGCCTGTAGTCAATGCCGGCACATCCCCACCAACAAACTTCAAATAATTCAACTTTGGTGCTTCAAGATAAAAGGAATGAGGGTAACGAATACTGCACCTATCAGCCACCAAAGTTTTTAGCTTTAAGTCATTCCCACGAACGTCAAGGGAGTTCATCCCCCAACATTTCTTCAGACTCAGACTCTCAAGCAACCTACATTGTGCTAACAGAGTTTCTTGAACGGAAACCGGCAGAGCAATCCAACCCAATGAAATGTGCTTCAGCATATGAAAATTCCCAACCAAATCCGCATCAAAATTGCAAGAAAACAGAGCTAGGGACTCAAGAACTCGGTGATTATACACATCCAAAGGCAAATCAAAATAGGACTCGTGGTAATCATACCCGAGTTCATCCCATGCGGGGTCAGAAAAATCGAGCGCCAACTGTTTGACATCATGCTTCACGCAAAATTGGATGCAATCCAGCACGAATTGTTGGAAATTTTCAGGTTCAGAAAATGTGAGAGAGCAACCTTACCCACAGGCGTTTTTGGGCTGTTGTCAATCCAACGGCGCACAAAATCAATGAAAGTTAGTCTCTGAATCGCTCTGTCCGCCGGTGCTGCGTCAGTATTCACAAAGAAACGCTCGTTGAACTCGACGATTTGGGTCGAACGCCCAAGGCGACGCCATAGCTTGGAGAGAATGGAGTTTCTTGCGGCTTCTTTGAAGGGCAAGTTGGCGATGATGATCAGGAGAGGTTCGGGTAACTGTGAGAACTTGTCCATGTTGTTAAGTACTAAGTTGGCGGAGTTTCTTGCATTATATGAGAGAAGTTGCAGGGGTGATCGACGAAGAAGAAGGTGGATGCGAAGAGAAGAAGAGATTTCTTGTGGCACAATTTTGGTGGTTGGCGAAATGTTAAGGGCATCTTTTCGGTTTATTTTTTTTTTTTTTCTTGCGTAAACGAGGGTATTCACTTGTTGTGGCCATGTGGATGTAAAAATGTAATTAACAATATCCTTTTTTGTTTTTAGTTGTCACACATAACTACTTTTCAAAAACATGAAAACTAAAAGTTAAATTAAAAAAAAAAGAAATGGTTATCAAATCACCCATATAATTTACATCGTATAACATGATTCAAAACGAGTTGCGAAGTTTTAATTTTCTCAATTTGTACATTTTTAAAATCATCCCAATTTATGTTTTTAGTTTGTTAATCATCTTATTCTTCCCTAATTTGAAGATGGTGACTCTAGGACCCATTTATAGGCTAACATACAAGGCACACGTACTCACCACGGAGATTCGGCTTCTCATACATCGATGCTTTGTGTCCCTAAACAGCAATCAATTTCACAGTTTTTGGTCCAAAATTTGCTAGTATGGCTTGTACATCATAGTATAACGAATTGCCATATCATATGGCACGTCATCCATTGAACAAAAGATTATACGTAAATAGACGAAAAACTTATGGTCAAAATTAGCACAACTGAAACTAAAACGACTGAAGTGAAACTTGAATTAAACTACATAGACCAGAAATGACTAAATTTGACCTTATTGTGTGTGTACAACTATATAGTAGAACAACAAAAAGATAGACGAAATATAAGGAAGAGAGAGATAACAAACACAAAATATAAGATTAACTTGTATACTTTTCGACTTTAAATATTAAAGATATATAAGGCTTGTTCGACATTGAATATTTTGTTCTATACTCAACGGGGGATTGCTCCTTAGTTGGATCAGATGACTCCAATGGTTTTGTGAGGGACAGTGTTGAGTGGCATACTGCATGATCACCAATTTAATAGTCAACTTATGATTGTTTCCTACTCCCAAGTTCTTCAAAAGATGGTATATTTGCTACTCCCAATATGAAGTATTTTTGACGTGCAAGCTAGCCTGGTTACTTCTCCACCATGCCTTATGGCTGAAAAGTATCTGTTTTAAAACTTTTCTATGTTTTTGGAGGTCAGCTGAGATATGGCTCTGTGACTGATCATGTCAAAGGTGCAAGAATAGGGTTCAAAGCATGGGAAGAGATTGAGGGAGGGTGTTCTTCCTTATGAATTCGTTCTGCTATCTCTGAGGTGTCCGTTAAGTGACTCGGTAAATGTTTTTGTGATTTGCCTTTTTTCTGGTTTCATCTCAGCAGGCTCCGTCACTGTTTGTCGAATTAATTTTCAAGCTTAACACATGAACAACATAACAAGGTGACGTAAAGCGAGTGTGACCATTTGACTTCATCACACAAGGACAGCTTGCGTTGATATCATAAAGAAGTTGGGGTTCCACTATAACTTCAACTGACTATACGAGAAGTAGCCCAAACTCAAAAACTTTCACAATTCTCAACACTCTCATCAATGCGAGATTTTTCTCATGTTGGAACCCTCATTTGTCCCACATCGGACAAAGGGAGAAGAGAAGAACAGTTTAAATAGAAATACCATTCTCTAACTAACACTGAGGCCTTTTGTGATAAAATCTCACACCTGAGGATTATGCAGGTGGTTAAGTGGGGATAATATCGGTGTTGTTGGAGTGGGCCCTCGGCTTGTCGACTTGAAAAATTCCACATCTCAACATATTTTCCTATGTTTTCTGTTTCTTTTACACTTTTTTAAATAGTGAAACTTCTGTAAGAGCTACATCTAAAACAGAGAAGGTTGTTGAGAAAGTTAAGAAGTATGAAAGCAAAACCTTGAGAACTCAATCTGCAAAGTTGCTGATCAAGATTCTGGTCAGCCATATTTATACTAGATTTAAGATTCAACTTTTTTTTGCAATCCCTGTATCAGTTTCCTCATTACAAATTGCAATTTTTGTAATGAAAGTAACTGGTTGGATGTTATCGAGTCTTAATTGTTGAAGTTTTGCCTTGATCTATACATAAATGCTAGTAGACTTGTAAACTGATCGTTTTAAATTGGATGAGGCTTAATCCAAATTCAAATTAATTTATAATCAGATTCCGAAAGAATCAGAAAATATAATTTGACTTTAAGTTATTAAAATAGTATTAGTAACTTCATTTTTATTATATTATATCTGTTTCCTAAATAGAAATTTTCATCTTGTATAATAATAATAAAAAAGTGCTACTAACCCCACCCCATTATCCTATTTTTTCATCCATCTTTTAATAAAATAGTAATAACATGTTTAATTTTCTAGAAAAAGACTTTTCAACCCCTATCCCGTTTCTCTCTCCCTCTTGCTTCTCTTCGGTTGATCTCTTCTCGCCTTCTACATCGACTGCTATAGATTCTCCACCGACCGCCACCGTCTCTCTCTCGTCCCCTGTTTATCATTTTAGTACGTAAGTTCTCACTCTTCGTCCCTAATAAACGTCATGCACATGATGACACTTTTTAGGCATCATAGAATTATTTTTATGGCATTTGACCAACGTCAGGAATCTCTCCCTCTTCGAATCTGGCGTTCCACCCATTTCACTCTTTTCGAATCTGGAATTTTTCTTCGAAGTTCATTCGCACATGCCCTCATAAATTCTTGCTATCTTGTGCTAAGGAACTGAAATGTAGAGGAATTAAAAATTTGCACACTCTCACTGAATTGAAATTCCTTTATTCTTTGATTCTTTGAATAGAAATTTGCACACCTCGTGATATTTTAGAGGGGAGGAAGGGCTTTAGTTTTGGACTCCGTTCTTTTGTTCGCTTGGTGAGTGGTCATGTATTTCTTGTAGTCCCATTCTTATATATGATCACTTACTCTTTGAATTTGACGTCAAAGATTAGGAGTACATATTAAATTTATATCTATTTATTTTCCAGTCTATGATCACAAGTTGACTAGGAGAAAATTTTGGTACTAATTTGCCACTCTGTATAGTTGTTTTCGAACAAGAGTATAATATCTCCAAAATAGAATCAAGATTGAAGGATGGTGAAATAATTTATTTTTTTTATTCGACGATGTATTTACACAATAAGGGGTGGAGATATAAATTAGTTGCGAACTTGTTATTTCCGAGATTCGAACTTAAAACCTCTTACTTACAAATAAAGACAAATACATCGTAATATTAAATGGTAAATGAAGTACTCGATCGAAAAGAGAAGGTATTTCCTGTTCTTTCTTCAGACTTGTTTCCTATCCAGCGCAGATTGTTCCTATTAGAAGAAAAGATATCACATGTTGCTAGTTAGCCAATAAATCTGGAATAAATTATGGATGATAAAGCTTGATTTATGGTATGGTGGAGAATATTAACTCTTAATCATATAATATAATTCCAGGAATTTTTTGTGCCTTATATAGTCCAGCGTGAATCTTTTCCTGGATTCTTCTGGCTTCCAGGAATTCGGTATGAATTTATAAAAGAGCAATCAGTAAAACATTTTAATTAGTTCTAATATCCTTCATGAGCTACAGAGCTAATCCCAGATCTTAAGCTATAAATACTTTGTAGCATGTTCATCGTACAAGAATTTATGTAACAAGTAGGGCAACGAAAAATGTTGCTTTCACGATCCAGCATCAGTACCTTAAACTTAACTAGAGCTGGTAGATCAGATGAAGCCTTTATTGTTCCGATTGAAGTTTTCCTTCCGAAACAATTCGATGAAATGTCACTGAAACGATAAAAGATATACACCAGTCTAGCTCAATGAAACTGACAAGAAACAGAAAAGCGAGAGAGAGAGAGAGAGAGAGAGAAAGAGAGAGAGAGATTTGCAGGCATGAATTACCTTTATCACCAGCCCGCCACTGATTTAAAAGCATGTAACCCCTGAGTCTCTAACAAATACATGTTGGCCCTGCCATTTCTCCAGCAGCAGTAGGTGAATCTCCACTCTAGTCCTGTGGTATCCCGCATCGCAATGGGGAGCCTTTGTATTTCAGCTATTGCTGGAAAAAGGGCCTGTATCATTCACACAGACATATATTAATCTTGATTAACTACCTAGCTAATTTAATTAGCAACAGATAGATGGTCAAGGACTGGTACTAGAAATCAAATACTGTACAAAATTAGAGCATTTTGACTTGCCTCTGCCGCTTTCATTGGTATGATAAGACATGCGTTATTACGATGATATTACTCTGGGTTATTGTCTTCTCAAACAAAAGAAGAACCCCTGAGCTTGATCTTGGATTGGTCAAGAATTCACAGATTCAAAGATATAAAATCATTATAAATATAAAATATAGCTAGGGTGCTGCCCTGCTATTAGAGCAACGCCAGCGTTGCTGGTTGCTCGGGCGATAGGCGAGGAGAAAGGGCCCTCGGGCCGGTGGGAGCAGCTCCAGCAGGGAAGGGCCCGAGTGAGGGTGGGAGCCCGAGTGGGAGGCCCGTGGAAAATTGACAGGCCTGGCCCCCGAGCCTTGTGACGTCAGGCTGACGCAAGGGCTGGGTCCGGCCTTTTTTTTTTTTTTTTTTTTTTTTGTGTCAGGCGCGTGCCCCTCACTCGCGAGTGGGGGCGCGTCGCCCGACAGGATTTCAGGGGGATGGCCCGCGCGCCAATTACCGTTGGGAAGCCACGTGGCTTCCCACGGTCCGTTCGATCCCAACGGCTCTTTAATATGAGCCGTTCGATTTGCAACGGTAATAAAAAATTATTTTATATCAACCATTCGATCTAAAATCAACGGTTGATATAAATCTGCTTTATAAATTTAAAAAAAAAAGAGAAAATAGTTTTAAAATTAAGAAAAGTTACCGTTATGACACGTGGCACAATCTGGAGTGTTGGAATTCAATTTTTTTAAAATCCAACGGCAGAGATTAATTTTTTGAATAAAA